AACAACTCAGTCGCAACCTCTTGATCCTTCTTCTCGAGCTCCTTGTACTTCTCCCTTGTTAGCAACCATGCAACGGAATCATTCTCCGCAGCCACCGTACCCGTGCGGTCTGTCTCTGAGAAAAAGGGAAGTTCGCCACAAGTGGTACCGGGGAGGATGACTTCGAAGAAGTTGCCTTGGTCGAGCTCGTACTCTGTTCGCAGGCGGCCCTTTTCGAGAATGTAGAAGCCGTCTGGGTCGTCGCCGCGCGAGTACAGGACCGTACCGGCGGGGTATTCCTTACGCTCGAAGTAGGGTGCGACGGCTTGCCAAAAGTCTTCATTTTTCGTCGACACGTCTTCGAAAGTCTGGAGGATGATCTTGAGTGGTTGTGCAAAGTTTCGCCAGCGTGGGGGCACCACGGTTGTTGTGTATTGCGAGGCGTTGTCGGCGATGGAGAAGGTGTCGTCGCCACTCTCGCGCATTGTTGAGCGAGCGGCAATGAGTCGAGCACCCCGTCGAGGTGACGAGAATATAGGGTTCAGGGAGCTGGCGCCAAAGGAAGTGGGTGAGCCGGGTTCGTGGGTAGAAATATCCTTGGCCCCCGAGATGCTCATGGGTGGTGTCGACTGTTGCTTCGATGGGTGTCTGTTGCAATGTCTGTGGAACACTTCGAGGAGCTCATTTTCGCAAGATTCCAGTGCCGTGTTGAGGTCTTCAAAAATCTGGGGTGGTGGGCAGTCTTCATCCCCTTCTCCATCCAGCAGCCCTACGTTCTGTAGAGCACGTCCGACGGGATCGGAAAATGAGATTCCAGAGATGATCATCTTGACATTCTTGGTGTTCAAGATACGATTGATACGCTGGAAGCCCTCAGAGCTGGAAAAGTCGACATCCGTAACGTGGGTAAAGTCCACAATGATGAAGCTGATTGGGTTCCTCTCAAAGTTGTCGTCGTCGATCAAGGAGCGCATATACTCCTCGACCGATACAATCGTACCGAAGAACAGGAATCCGCCAAGTTTAATGGCGCGAATCTGCCCTCGAACTTTGCTGAGGTAGCGCGAATCTGATCGTGGACGGCGGACTGTAGACTCGGCAATCATTCCGCTATAGGATGCGCGGATGGCTGAGTGACGCGAGCTTTGCACAACGTAGCTAACGCATGCAAGGACGATGCCGACAAAGATTCCAACCACGAAATCGTGGATACCCATGATGAGAACAATGACAAGGATAGTCAGGTATTCGAGCTTGTGGCATTTGCCAAAGGTATCCCAAAGGGCCTCTTTCATAAGGTCGATACCTAGTAGGAAAATGAGTGCACCAACTAGGCAGATGGGGATATAGCCAACCATGGCTGGGCCAGCTAGCCAGACGGCAGTCGTGGCAAATGCAAGCATGACACCAGCTGTACGGCTGTTACCGCCGTTGTCGACGAACATGACACTGTTTGCGTAGACGAGATAGTTCTATATGCGTTAGTGATGCCACGAAACACGTGCATGACTATCCATACCTGAATACTGCCCAAGCACCCAGAGAGGGTGTTGGAGATGCCGTGAGCGATCAACTCTCGGTTCACATCGAGATTGTCCTCCCTCACAGCTGCACCTAGAGCAGGAACATTGATAGGTACATGGATGATACCGAAAAAGGATAGAGCGAACATGGTGGGAATGGTGCTAACAAGGGCTCCTGCGTCTACACTGCCAAACTCTATTGGTTCGTTAGCAGCTTATTGTCGAGAATTCGGCAAGACACTCACTAAAGTAGGCGTAGAACCTGTAAAACTGGACACCGGCTTCTGGGAGCTCAAATATCCAGCCCGCATTACGCACAGGCTCCAGGTCCTTGTGAAGGATACCCTTGACAACAAGGTAGAAGATGGCAAATACAGAGACGAAGAAAGCAGGCAAGACAAACGGGCTCTTGGATAGCCGCCGCAGTATCATGATTACAATGGCAAGGGCAAGCGGCAGCGTCCAGAGGTACCAAGTGTCGGAAGAAAAGAGCTTGTGTAGGGTCTCGAGATCATAGTTGAGGTTGCCTTCGAGACGAGCTGACACTTCAATGCCAGTCACAATGAGGAAGAAGCCCACTCCACCAATGCAGCCGATAAGAATGTGTCTTGGGAAGAAACTGACTAGGTTGCCGAGCTTAAAGGCACCAAGAGCAAGAAATATGAGACCAGTCAGAATGGAGCTGAGGCAGTAAGAGACAATGGTGGTGGCTATGATTGCCTCCGGGGGCTTGCCTTCCATTTGCTCCATGATGGAATATGCCATTTTATGGAAAAAGGGAACAACCTCAATCATTTCAGATCCGACACCACCCTTGAACACGGACAGTCCTAGAGAGTAGCACAGCTGTGACACGATGCAGCTGACAAAGAAAATAGAGATGCCATCTGGGCCCGTGTTGCTGAAAATGGGCGCACCGAGTGGGAACAGAATGTAGCCATAAGATAGCGCATCGAGGAGATTCAGCAACAGACCAAGGAAGACAGCAGATGTTATCTGAATGCCTTCAATAGCACGTGAAAGCAGAGCATCCTTGGTGTAGTTGTTGGGGTCAGACAGCGATCTGCCAATGCCCAGGACATGTTCGCGACCGACCTCGAGGGTGCGTGTGAGACGACGAGGCAGGTTTGGTTTGGGTCGTGGGGCCCACGAATCATGCGGTACAGACTTGTGCTTTTGCTGAGGGCCTGAGCGCGACAGTCTGCCTTGGGGAAGGAGAGGCGTTCGCTCCGTGTCTTCGACGACTACACTCGGGGTTCCGTTCTTGTTGTTTTGGGCAGTGCCGGCCTGCGACTTTGGGCTGAAAAAGTTACGGTCTTGGTACTGAGGGCCAATAACTGTCTCGGGGGTTTCGGCGTCGCTTTCCTGATCAATGGCGTCGGTCCAGCGGCCAGAGTCTTGCGACGTGCGCCCGTCCTCACTGTCCGAGGGGATGGCGCCCGGCCTCGCGGCATACGTGTCAGAGTCGGCAAAGCTGCCACGGTGCGGTCGGTCCTGGTAGTTTTCGGCCTCGAGGGCATACGAAGCTAGTTGGGAGCTTCTCTCGCGCACGCCCTGGGACGAGTAGTGTGGGGTATCTGCAAGGCAGTCAGTGAGTGCTGGCAATGGGTGACATGGGTTAGGGATACGGACCAGCAAAGCCATGTGACGTCTGGTGGGCAAAGGAACGGATGGGATTGCGCGTGTACGAGCCAGAGAGGGCAGCAGAGGCAATGGACTGGCCGCGTATCCGGCGTGGAAGACTGTGGCCACCATTCTCGGCGTGCGCTTGGTCTTGGGCAAAGTCGCCGTCGTTTGTATTGTCGCCAGTAAAAGGCAGCTGGGGTTGCTGCTCGGCGGCGGGCGCGTCGCGGGCAAAGAGACGAGAAGGCATTGCGCCCAGGTCAAAGGAGAAGAAACGACGGTCGGGTCAAAGTCAACAGGCCATGTCCTGAGCGAGGAAAGTTTAAGTGGAGAAAACAGACTCCAAGGTTCACGGAAAGGGCGCGGTCCAGGTGGGTAAATGAATGGGCGGGCAGGTGCTAGGAGATGTATTAGGGCAGAGCGGATGGTGGATGGACGATGGCAGCAGCAACTGTCTCGCAATCGCCTGGAAATGGCACGCGATTCTGGCTTCTGCGCACCGTGGTTTCGTGGATCCAGTCAGGTATCATGGTGACGGGCCGCAAGATAAGCAAGGATGGCATGGCTTAGCCAGGAATTGAGCTTACTTTGGAGAGGGGCGGGTGCAATGGCATAAAATTTTGGCGGAACAGCGTGGGTCGGGCAACCTTGCAACGGCTGCCGGTACGTCATCCGCCGCTAGCGAACCCCTGCCCTGGTGCTGCCATTGTCACTAAAGACACGGGCTAGGCCAGTTGTCGACGTCTTTTTCATCCCATCCATACGCTTTCTATACCCCGCCTGCTCGCAATATGGCGTCAACGGGCATGGCAGCTTGACAATACTTCAACCCAGGGAGCAATCACATGATGCGGTCCGTCTAAGGATGCATGCATGCACATGCACCACGGCGGAGCGTGCCGGGGGAGACAGGCCGTTGCATCCGCCTCCACTCTGTAGGAATTGTACTTTATCCATTTGGGCCGGCTATGGTGTACCTACATACGGTAAGTATCAACGTACATCCAAGGACGTCTGTGTATGTATCAGTCCATCTGTCCTCACAGTCGTCATGACAAGAAGATCATGTCATATCCACGTCTTGCCAGTGTCATTGCTTCCTGCAAGACAATGTCTGGTCTATTTTTTTTCTCCTCTGCGCTAAACTCGATCTAGTCGGATGTTGAGCCCGTTGCAGCTTTTGTTCAAATTTTTTGGCCTTCTCCGCAAGCAGGTTCCGTGGCGGTTCGAGAGTGCTCTTCGCGTCCCTCTGCTCCACTTTACAACCACTGAAAAAAGGTCGTCGCAGAGTCATTAGCGTCAACGTGGCTTCGGGTAGGGTCCAGACAAGTCGTATTGCAGCCCTTTGCCGTCGCCACGTTCGCCAATGAAAATCGCGGCGACAATTTCCCTAGTGTAGCTATCCGGTCTGCCGGATCGTGGAGTTTATTTGCATTCTAGAGACTCGAATCCCACTGTAATCGAATTTTCTTGCAAAAATTATGTCGAGTGCATGGCTGTACAATAAAAAAAACCTTGCACAGTTTGACCAATTAATCATAGAGACGATTATCACTTGACAATTTGTATTTGTTTAGTGTATGGTGTATCGGATTGTTTTCCTTAAAAAAAGAATGATAGATCAGTGGAGCCGATTGTAAATTAAGACATCCTCACACTAATGCATACTATGGATATTACCTTAGAGTTCCTTCTTAACTGCGCGTTCCTCACTTGGTGTAGACGGCGCTCAAGTATCTTTTCGCCTTATGCGGCAGTTTATACGCTCCTCCAAAACACCAACCCCCCACAACTAACCAAGGCCGAGAGGTGCGCACTAAGTCCTTTCACGGAAGGCCCAGATGAAGAATTCTCTGCTGCAATTGTTGCTCTAATTCACCTTACCTCCCTATCTCCTTCCCACACCATCGCCGATTCGTCATCTGTGTCGTACACCCTCTTTCCCCCGTCACCCCACATACCCCTCTCTTCCCGCGTCTTCATTGCAGCCCTCCTCACAAAAAATATAATAATAGCTATCAGCACCGCCAGCCCTGCAACCGCACCAATCACGATGCCAATTATGGCCTCTATCGGGATTGGTGAGACACCATCTTTGTATCCAGGTATAGAGGAAGGTTGAGTAGCAGGTGATCCCGTCATGCTTGTCGCAGGTGCCGTTGTTGTGAAGTCAGTAGAGCGGGAGAATGATACCAGTGTTGAAGATGTCGAGGCCATGGTGCTGGGAAGTGCAGCTGTGTAGACTGCTTAAGTCGTGTAGTAGCGAGTGACGTGCTTGGTAAGATGGAAAGGAAAAGAGAAGAGACCGAGGTGTAATGTTATCGTAATGAGCAAAACAGCACTCTTTTGTTCCTTCCCCTCCGCAACAGCCAAAGCACCTTGCTGCGCCTTCCAATTCTGCACTTTTCCACCCTGGCCCCCCTAAACCTCGCACTGTGTACCCAAATTCCGCCTTTGTGTACTCCAAGGGCTACTGCGACGCGGTGCCAGCAAAGCCACTCAAGCAGGACGCCTAGTAACGCCCATTTGCTCCAGGCCACCCCAAGAAACAACCATTCTCTTATTCTCTCCTACAATTCAACATCTCTTCCCTCACTAACTGATCAACACTGTGAAGGGCAGTAGGATATTATATAGCACAATATGAACGTACAATAACAAAGACCGCAGAACACTGTACGTTCAACCCTCGATGCGCAAGATCCATCCCCCAGCCCCGCCAAGCCCACACCATCCCAAACAGGAAAGTCACTAAAAATAGTAGTAGTAGTACAAGTAAGTAAAGCACAAAGTCTGCGGAGTAAGTAGGTGCCGAGTGTAGTCTACTCAGCACTACCCAACCGCACGTGGGATGGGGGGATGGGGGGAGGAGGGGGGCGGAACTGTTGCGGGCTAAGTGTAGTTAGTAAAAAATTAAAAAAGAATGCCCCGATAAGACTACTCTACACTAGTAGTAGCTCCCAGTTACGGATTTCCTTCCCCCCCATCTCTCTCTCTTTCTTGTCTAAGGTATCGGGACATGTGGGGGAGAGGGGGGAACAGGAACGAAGAACACGGTCTGGATAGGGTTGTTTCCGGCCGTGGACGGACGAGTTTTTTTTGTTTCCGACGGACGAGGTTCGTTTCTTGGTTGCTTTTTCCCCCGGGGTAGCCGCTGCGGCAGTTCGATGTGGCGATTGTATGTGGAGAGGAGTGGAAGGTAGTTGCGAATTAGGTGTGTGGAGGTAGTGGGGGTGGCACGATTGATGCACGTGTGTGTGTGTGAGGCTCATGGGGTGAAATGACTACTACTTAGTGTTGTTGTGTGCAAAGTTCATGACTGAAATGATCAATAGTGTTATTGTAAATGCATGCTTGTATGTATGTATTGTATAAACGTTGTTGTATGGCGTCTGGACTCGACAGAAAAAAACAGCTCCGCATATGCAGTGTTTACCAGCCCAATGTCATAAAGGGTATAATTAAAACTTTGTTACGCCCTTTACCCCAAGAAATGAAGAAAAAGGAAACCAATAACCCCTCGCTACGCTTGCTGGGCAAATCGAGTTGATATCGATTACCCAGGTGAGAAGAAAGAGAAAAAGAAAAAAAGGAAACTTTTTGTTTTACATATCATCAGAGCCGGCTGACTTTGCGGGCAAAATGCTATTGTGCCAGGATTCTGTCAACGGCAGCACTGGCTAGTTGCTGGACGTCCTGGATGCCTCCCTTGACGTCGATGATCTCAACGTCCTTGAGTTGCTTGCATTCCGTCTCGTCCGGCTCCTCGAGGGCAGCAAACTGGCTGGCGACCATGGCATCCTTCATGTAGTGGCCTTGCCTGGCACGGACGCGCGAGAGCAGCGTCTCCATGTCGGAGCGGAGGTAGACAAAGTGGACGTTGGCATTTGGGTCTTGGTCGTAGAGCCTGGCGGTGCGGATGACGTCGCGGTACTTTTTCTTGAGAGCGCTGCAGGTCACAACGACGCCACGCGAGCCGTTGTGGAGAGCGGTGAGGGCCTGGTCGCGCAACAGGATGAGCCAATCCCAGCGATCTTCGTCGTTGAGGGGAATGCCGGCGGCCATCTTGTCAATGTTTGCTTTTGGGTGGAACTGTGGGGCAATTAGCAGGCGCTAGGCGGGATTGGGCAAGGCGACTTACCTCATCACCCTCAATGTAGTCGAAGCCATATCGATCGGACAGATGCTTGGCAATGGTGCTCTTGCCGCAGCCTGCAGGGCCGGTGACAATGAGGATGTGGTGGTGGGCGGGGATAGTCATTTGAGCAGTCTTGGTGTCGGCGAGGGCAGGCGACGATGTGGATGGCGAGCCGGTATTTGAAGCCGGAGGCGTGGGCGGCGAGACATATTGTATGGGGGCGGGGACTGATTGCTCCATGGTTTGCATCATGGCGTTGGGACGGCAGCAGGGAAACGGACGGGGAGCGGGCGAGAATATAAGGTGCAGTCGAGGGCGTTTGCGAGGGAGCAAGAGGGCAAGTGGTGTTTGAGTTGGGCAGCCAGGAAGCAGCAAGCAGGAAACCGGAAACGGGACTTGGGCTGAATTAATATGCGATATTGCAAACGCACATGTATCGACAACGGCTAGTTTGGATGCAGAGGGTCAGCAATCTAGAAAGACACCCAATGTGTGCTGGGGGGGGAGGGTGGATTTTAAGGCTCGCAGTCGGGGATGCTCATCTGGAAATTTCGCCCGCAGCGCCATGACGGCAAGGGTGGGATGGACTGGCGGGCGTTGTGCTTCAGGAGGCCCAGGCAGGATAGGACGGTACGCGTGCAACGACGGCAGCGAATGGCGGCTCGAACCGGACAGCTAGTGGCGGTGCGAGGGCCAGGAGGGCCAGACGGGTGCAACAGCCGGGCAGCCGGCGTGGAGAGTTGAGGGCTTCGGCTTTTGAACATGCAACTGTCGCGTGTGGGATGATGGATGTCATGCTGAGTCCTAGCGCCCGAATCCCTCCCTTTTTCCCCCGCACTGCCCGTCCATCCCATCTCCCAGGAACCGGCTGCCCTGCTGCCCTTGCTGCCCTGCACACCACCACCACTACCATGACTACGACTCCTACATCACAATATGTCACAGCCAGGTCACACAGCATGCAGTGCCCCGCGTCGGGCTGGGGAGGCGAGTAGCCACTAGAGCGCTACGGGCAGCCAGCCTGTCGTCGGTCGTCTGTCCCTCTCTCTCTGCCTGCATGCATGTACATACATACATACATAGTACATGTGTATGTAGCACATGAATCTTAGATCTATACGCCGTAAGCAAGTGTGTGCACCTGCACTGTACTACGTACGCAGTACTCCACGTTGCATCCATACACCGACGACGGCACAGGAACACCTTCTCCACATACGCCCTCACCGCCTTGACTCGTGCACACACACACACACACACACGACGCGGTTGGATAATGGCGCGTGGGGGTCCGGCGCGGCCTCTCGATGCCATCGGCCCGGCCAGGTCGAGGCTGAGGACTAGACGACGTGCGACCATCGTCGCATCTGCTTGCCTTTTCTTTTTTTTTTGCGCGCGAATACGAGCCAGTCCAGGTGTGGCTTCGCGCGCGCTTCCCGGCCAGCCGCCTGCCCATACTTCCTGCGTCGCATTCCTTAGGTAGGAATGTGGAGGAACTGCCATCTGCCACCTACGACGTGCGCCCTGCCCCTCTGACCTCTGACCTCTGACCCGAGCAAACCCGCAACGCAGTAAGACGTGACGTGGACCCATTGAGTTTACCGGCATGGTCAGGAAACGGAAAGCAAGTAAAGGCCTGGACAGCAAGTCGTGTCGGACAGCGAACAACCAACGGCCACCAGCCAGCAGCGTACCAAGTACAGTGGCCAACAGGTAGCCACCTGGTAGCCACCTGGTAGCCAGAGCACCGCCCAACGGGGAAGCGGGGCACTGTCCACGTGACCCGCTCCCCCAACATGGACAAGCGCTGTATGACGAAAGCATGCACCACGCATCCACACGTCCACCTTGCCCTCAGCCCCGTCGGCCGCCGACGCGACCACGCACTCCAACCATGTCCTACTTCTTCTCCACCCCGGTCGACATCGACATTGTCCTCGAGGACCTCGACGACCGCTCTGCCGTCGACGTCAAGCTCGACAAGAACCGCAAGGAGAAAGTCCCCCTCTACCTCGATGGCGAGTCGGTCAAGGGCCAGGTCACCGTCCGCCCCAAAGATGGCAAGCGCCTTGAGCACACAGGCATCAAGGTCCAGTTCATTGGCACCATTGGTACGCGCCCCGTCCACCTGCTGCTCCCTCGCGCATTGCTGATGTATTGCGCCCAGAAATGTTCTTCGACCGCGGAAACCACTACGAGTTCCTATCCCTCGGCCAGGAGCTAGCCGCTCCCGGCGAGCTGCAGCACCCCCAGACCTTTGACTTCAACTTCAAGAACGTCGAGAAGCAGTACGAGTCGTACAATGGCATCAATGTCAAGCTGCGCTACTTTGTCCGCGTCACCGTCTCCCGCAGAATGGCCGACGTGGTCCGCGAAAAGGATCTCTGGGTCTACTCGTACCGCATCCCCCCAGAGACAAACAGCTCCATCAAGATGGACGTTGGCATCGAGGACTGCTTGCACATTGAGTTTGAGTACTCAAAGTCCAAATACCATCTCAAGGACGTCATTGTAGGCAGGATATACTTCCTCCTTGTCCGGTTAAAGATCAAGCACATGGAGCTGTCCATTATCCGAAGGGAAACAACGGGTGCGCCCCCGAACCAGTACAACGAAAGCGAGACCCTGGTCCGCTTCGAAATCATGGATGGTTCGCCCTCGCGAGGTACGTGAATGCGATTCTTTGCGACATGAATCCCACTAACCGCTGCTGCAGGTGAAACAATTCCAATCAGATTGTTCCTTGGCGGCTTCGACCTGACTCCCACCTTCCGTGAAGTCAACAAGAAGTACTCGACCAGATATTATCTCAGTCTCGTACTTATTGACGAAGGTGAGCTATTCCCGCTCCCTCTCCAGCACATTCCACTGACAAGCATCCAGATGCGCGACGATACTTTAAGCAGTCCGAGATCGTACTCTTCCGACAAGCACCCGAGGGTCTCACATTGGCGCAGGAACAGAACAAGTTGATGGCGGTATCATGAGGAAAGCACCTTGAGCAGAAGAGGCACATGCGCATCCACGAGCGTCTAGCCCAAGATTGCCCAGTGCGCCACACTGTAGCGTTAATGTTGGAGTTATTGTTGTGCCTAGTACTAATACCCCGACATGGAATCCCACTGGACCATTGAGCCTTGGTATTGTAGCATATGGGTTTTGAGTGAACCCTTATATCCATGGGAATGTAGCAGTCTCCGCGGACACTATCCATCGGCCAAGTACAGCAATCGTGACCGCGTCTCCACACTGGCGCGCTAGTCAAAGTGGAGCCTCTATTTGCTGTACCGTTATTATGCACATTTGTCGGCTTGGCTTGCAGACGGTGACCAAGGACCGGCGACTGCTATGTGCTGATGTTTTGCATCAAATGCCGATAGCTTTTCACATACACCTGCTCATATGCTGCCCATGTGTATGCACTTTCCTCTGTCGCAGTGTGGACGTCACGCGACACACAAAGTCATAAGATTTTCTCATGCGTGCACATTCTGACGAGTGCAGGCCAACAAGCTCCACTTGAACATGCCGATGTCCGTCAAACTCGTGATCTGTACAGCGCCACAGCTAGCTGCAACGCCTCAGGATCGAGATGAGGACTGCCTTATCAGTTAATATGTATCGAGAATTGAGGCTCTTGCTCGGCTCTACCCACTCATTGTGAAGATCAGTCAAGTCGATTGGCACACATGTCTCTGAGCCGTGGGTAACTCTCGGAAATACCGGCGACATAGGCGGACTAGGCAAAAAGCTTCCCTGCCAGTGACGTAGCACATGCAATTCTTCACTTTCCCATACATGAATAGCAGCGCTACCATTTACCATTTAGTCAGATTGCTCTTGCCTGTGTGAATCCTAGGCTCAATGTAATTTGGATATAAGGTCGACCTCATGGTACTCACCTCCGTAATATAGCATAGCAGTTGGGTTTCACCATGTCGCATCAAGAATCTAATGCGCCAGAAAACAGTGAGTGATCCATCCATGTCTTTGACCACAATCAAGAGAGGATCCTTTTTTTCCGGACAACTAACACCTTAGTTTTCAATAGCACAACAACAACCAGAGGAATCTGCATCCCAAAGACCCACCAATCTGGCAAATGAATCGAGACAACCAACAACAAGGTCCCTTGCATCGACGGTCCTACATCGAGGTCGTTCCGATGCACCGAGCATAGGAAAACCCGATACTGTTCGTTTGACGTCGAGACCACATAATGCTCGCACCAACACTACCGCAACCAGCATGGCGCCTATAGGCAGCATCAGAAATACGCCCTCAAACACTGCAACTCGCGAAAATGTCAGACAAGAGCCTCCTCGACGCCCAGAGAAGAAGCAACAGCAAGTTGTTGATGTTGACAATGATTATTTCACCCTGAACCCATGGTATAATGAGCAGAAACAAAAACCAGTCTTCGGTTTGGGTGCTCCTCTTCCACGCACGGTTCGCCGTGGCATGTGGTGGGGACGAGGTGATTTGCGCAAATCCTTGTATAAAATCGACGAGGATGATGGTGTCTCACGGCAGGATGGCCTCAACTTTAGGGACGGAAAAGGTAAGACTTCACTCTTTTGTGCATACCACGATTATCCTAACCAGAGCATGTACAGTCTTGGAAGAAGACTCAGAGGATTCTCAGGAGACTTTAAACGCTGCAAGCAACGTCAACAGCCAAGGAAACCCAGACAGATTCCAGACTGTAGTCAATGGCCGCAGGGTCAACGTCAAACGCGTGCCGACAAGTGAAGCAGACCAAGTTCTTGGCTTGGATCACCATCAAGACTCTCGCACCCACGAGCACCACGATGGCCAAGCACGTGCTCCAATCAATGAGCATGGATTGGGATATGCGGATGGAAGTGGACAGCAACAACACTTTGGTCTCCAGGACGGTCTTCCGCCACTTCAGGAACGGGCCACAAACGAAACTAGTCAAACCAGTGGGGAAGAAAAGGAAGCCCAACGACGAGAAGAAGAGGAAGAGCGAGACTTTTACAATCAATACCGAAACCCTATTGCTAGGTTCCGAGCAAAGTACCCGCAAGCTCCGGCAGAGTTTCTTGCTGTATGTCTACCTTCTCGCCAAACAAAGATTTGCTCTGCTGACACTCTACAGACGTTCATCTATCTCTTGATTGGGCTATGCGTGAACTTGTCTGTTGCCACTTCTCAACAAAGCACCGGTAGCTTCGAGACACAGGCCTGGGGATGGGGGTTCGCAGTTATGATAGGCATCTATCTGGGCGGAGGAGTCAGTGGATCCCATCTCAGTCCAACAATATCTATATCACTATCCGTGTTTCGTGGTTTTCCCTGGAAAATGGCCATCGTCTACATCTGCATGCAATTACTGGCTGGTCTCGCCGCAGGAGCCGTCGCATACGCGTAAGTCCCCTTGTTGCTGTTTGAAATTAGTAGACGCTGTAATTGACATGTACAACAGAGTCTACCATGATGCCATCCACGAAGTAGATCCCGGTCTCACACTCGACATGACGGGCAAGGCTCTCTTCCCCAAAGGACCTATTTACTCTACTGCAACTGGCTTCTTCAATGACTTCGTCTACATGGCCATATTCGTCTGTGTCGTGTTCGCCCTGGGGGACGACCAAAACTCTCCTCCAGGCCAAGGAATGACTGCCTTTATTGTTGGTCTCACCGGCATGGTAACAATGATTGGTCTTGGGTACAACACAGGCTTGGGTATTTCACCGGCGCGTGACCTTGGGCCTCGTCTTGTGGCATACTGGGTCGGATACAAGGATGCGTTTTCTACGGGGTACTGGGCATATGGCTGCTGGGGTGCATCTGTTAGTGGCGCGCTGTGCGGTGGTTTGTTGTATGATACGTGTATTTTTGTGGGCGGTGAGTCGCCGGTGAATTATCGGTGGCCGCAACCTGGGGATATCAAATGGAGGGCTAGACAGACGAAGGATCGTGCAAAGGATAAGATTCAGCAAGTTGCATGAATTATTTCCTCATGAGTTTGTTTTTAGAATCTCAAACAACGTTCGTCTATTTTACATTCTGTATGTTGGTATCTCCAATGAGGTACATAGTATGTTTTTTTGACAGGGATTCCACTTTACCGGTTGTGAGGGGTGGCGTATAGGCACCGGGAATACGAAAGGTAGTAGTAGTGGCACCGGGGATAAGATATTTAGGGCCCACAGCCCATCGGCAGCCAGGGTTTTCCCCAGACTTTCTACCATCCCGCTATTTCTTACTTACATGCAGCACTAAAACCAGGTACGCAAGCCTCTTGGATGCTCTAAATAAATCTGCTGTGATCCGTGCTAATTGGCTAGAATTCATTTGACCAGTACCGTACCTAAGACTACAAGATCTGGCGAGCAATTGTCAAAACCTCAATTCGTGCGGACATCTCCAACACATGAGATTATTGTCATTGCATTGATCATGTTTTGAGAAGAAATCTCGGGGGCCTAAAAGCTATACTTGGCAGATTCACTTTCAATTTGTTCTCTTTCTTCACACATCAATCTCAATACCCAGCCCAATCATGTCGTCCTCCACAAGCGCCGACATCGCAATGGCATCAACGCCGAAACCCGAAACAATCGCACAAGAGCAACGCGTGCCAGAAAAGAAAAGACCAGGTCTACGACAAAGAGTAAAACATTTCACATTCGCTTGGTTCCTATGTACAATGAGCACGGGGGGTCTCGCAGTCGCTATTGGAGAAGCACCGCATCAATTTAAAGGTACTTCCCTTCCCCCATCCAACCCCCCATCAAAATGAAAAATAATCGAAAATTACTAACACCCTTTAAAAAAAAAGGCCAATACCACATTTCCCTAACCCTCTACCTCCTCACCCTCACCCTCTTCCTCCTCTTCACCCTCCTCTCCCTTTCCCGCTACACCCTCCACCCCCCGCACTTCCTCTCCGCCTTCTCCCTCGCCCCAGAATCCCTCTTCGCCCCCGCCTTCACCCTATCCATCTGCGTCTTAATCGGCGGCGTGCAAACCCTCGCCATAACCCACGGCCCAGCCACCCCATCCCTCGTTTCTCTCGTCCACATCCTCTACTGGATCTACGCCGCCATCTCCCTCCTAGCCGCAACACTACAGTACTACCTCGTCCTCCGCCAAAACCGCACAATACCCTTCTCCCCCGCCATCTTCCTCGCAGGCTACTCTTGCATGCTAACCGGCACCCTGGGCTCCTTGATCGTCGCCACGCAACCCGCACAGCGCCACACGGCCATTGTCGTAGCGGGCGTCGCACACCAGGGCTTCGGATGGTGCATCAGCCTCGTCGCTATCGTCTTGTACGTCTCTTCGCTCCTCGAACGCGGCATCCCCCCGCCGCGAGCTAGACCCGCAATGTTCATCCCCGTGGGAAGTTGCGCGTATACGGTTGTCGCGTTGGTCGGTATGGCCAGGGGAATCGCACAGCAGCAGCAACACGTGTATACCGAGGGTTACTTTGCGAGACACGCTTTAGCACCAGAAGTACTCCGTATCCTGGCGTTTTTCTCATCCGTCTTCGTGTACGTGTTTGGTGTGTGGCTGTTTGGTCTTGCGCTCGTGGCCAATCTGAGTGCTGTGGGGGAAATGCCGTTTAGTCTGGCGTGGTGGGCGTTTATCTTTCCGAATGTCGGGTTTACGCTTGCGACGAGTGCGTTGGGGAGGGAGCTGGAGAGTGAAGCGGTGCTTTGGGTGGGGAGTGGGATGACGGCGGTGTTGGTGGTGGTTTGGATTGTGGCGGCGACGGCGTGTGTGAGGGCGGTGTGGAGGGGGGATATTGTGTGGCCTGGGAGGGATGAGGATAAGGATCGGTGAGGGGGTTAATGAAGGCTCTTTTTCATTTCAAGTCTCGTTGTAGAATGGGTTTGTTTATCGAAAACGTTACAGATGGATGTGTTTAAAAGCTTTATTATCATATCCTAGGTCAAATCCGCTTCATGCCAAAATGATTTTCAATCGTGACAGATAAAACTAGTCACATTACTATTTAGATGTCTGATATTAGAAGCCTAGCAATGAATATTCTATCCAATATTTACATGAGCTACTTTCCATCCACCAGGCATCAAATCAGTATAAACCCTCAGCGGATCATACTTTGCGCGAATTGCCTCCAACCTCAACAAATTAGCAGCAGGATAGCTTTCAAATACTAGCTGGCCCTTCCCTGCATCATTCATATACAAATATCGTGCTGCTAACGATTTTTCGCGGAGAAGACTGTTAATCTTTGCTGTGATCTTGTCCGCTGCCGCATGTACAGCATCGTCATCTTCCGCAGCCCCCCACGTAAAATTCTCAACCACCCAAAAATACGGAGCCTTTTTGACATCGATTCCCTGGGGATTCCCTCCGCTCTTAGCGCTATGCGAGAGGAACTCCTTTGTGATGGGCTGAAACGTGATGGACGCCTGGAGATTAGGAATCCTGGCCAAGTCCGAGTACACGAGGGAATTGAACGTATCGTGTATGATCTGAACGGCTTCTCGGTCAACAACTGTAGATAGGGTTCGGAATGCTTGTCGTAGCCCCAGAGGTTGCAACGCATCTGTCACTGAGATGTAGTCGGACAGCGGCTGCAGCGCGTACGAATCGGCAACAGGAACGAGCTTTGGCGCGGTGAAATTCTCAAAAACCCTTTGGTTATCCGTGAGAGAGTTGTAAAACTTTGCAGCTGCGTACACGGCTATGTTTGCGGCCGGCACAGTGACAATAGTCGGAATAATGGCTGCTTTGACATCAGACGGCCCGCCGTATTTTCCAAAATTATACACGCCGTCTAGATACCCTTTTGCTTGCGATTGGTTGAACTGCGCAATACCGACATGTACATCACTACCTTTTACGGTCCGCAGATCAAATCTCGTGACAATACAGAAGGAATTGCCGCCGCCGCGTAGGGCCCAGAAGATGTCGGAGTAGGCATTTGTGGCTGTTGCTTCGATGATAAGTCCACTAGCCAGAACGCACTTATCCCCGTTAGCAATATTAAAAAAAAGGAGTGATAGAGCGTACTTGATATCGAACCACGTTATCCGAGCCAAACCCATACTCGGAGGAAAAAAACGATATCCCTCCTCCAAGCAACAACCCAGCCACTCCAACATGCCCCACGCGACCCCCAACAGCCGCAAGCCCAAATGGACTGAGATATGCATATACGTCTCTCCATCGATTTCCTGGCCCAAAAGATAGGACGGATTGATCGCTGGATAACGCCAACCTAGTCATATTAGACAACGCCACCAACACACCCGACTCGCCTATCCCATTGTACTCGGGAATCGGCATATGCCCGCCTCCCCGCACCGCCAACTTTGATTGCGTGAGCGCAATAGTAGCGACTGCGTACGAGACTTGGCCTGCATTTTGCGGTACAAAAACGCAGGCTGGTGTGGTGTATGTGGTTGCTGACCAATATGCTACATACGTTCTGTTAGTAGATGTACAGAGGGGTAGTTAAAGAGGTAGGATTCGTCTGTTAGTAACAAGTTGATGTGTGTGTGTGTTTTTGAGAAGGAAGAGAAATGGGGTAAGTACGGTCGTGGGTTTCGTATAAGTATCCTGGAGTCCCCGGGAGGAAGGTGTAGGCGGGGAAGCGAAGTTTCAAGCTGGAGCAGGCTGCATTTGCACGGTCTGATGGATTTCCTGCGGCTGATGGTGCAGCGAGGAGGAAAGCCGTGACGATAGTAAGGATGAGCATTTTGAAAGCCTTCGGTGCGTTCCTCAGTTCATGAGCGAGTCAAGGGCCCCTTCTTTTTTCGGGCAAGCGACTCTGAGTGGATGTATTGTTTTGGTCGCTTGAGTGACTTGTACCTGCCTAATATATGTGCTGACATGACGGCAGAGCATAGGGGTTTGGGCCAATCCGCTCACCTCCGGGTAATGTAAGTAAGCTAACCTGATGGAGCTCGGCGTGTTCAGATGTGTATAAAGCTCTTTGGCCGTAGCATTGAAGCGTAGCTTCTTATACAGAGCTTTTAGTTCCATGAAAATCAGGTTGGTCCAGCGCTGAATCTATTTCAAATTGCCTTATGGTATAGTATGCATCTTGCTGGTATACTTGTATCTAAGAATAAACGGAGCTACTTTCTGTTCGAGAGAGAGATATGTTCGTGTACGCAATCAGGTGCTTCAACAGATTGTGGCGATTACATGTCTGAACCTTTTGTTAGCACCACAAAATTACGAGGAATCATGTATATTAACGTGCAACAGATACAGATAAGGGTAGCCATAAGATGTCAAACTCAAGATTGGTCCTTGTGAGATTTGGACGACCAAGGAACAACGTGCCATTTCGCGTATGCATGCAGTGCAATAACGCATGCTCTTCCTCAACATAGACATATGTCTTACGTGCTCAACTTTGAATGTTGGTTTGAAATGACGTTCCTTTCGTCTGGACTTTTGCGGGATTTAGCTAAGAACGATACTCCAAACCATACAATCACTTATATCCAATGAGCTGGTCAAATTCGACCACTGACTTTCAGAGGCACGTACCCACAGCTGACAACATGCTGCTTGACGCTAAATAGTCTACATTCAGTCCTGGGTGTGTGCTGCAGATATGGGAAGGAGCGCCGGACGAAGCCTCGCAAAGGCAAGCCATAATAACAATGCCAGCAATGTCTCAACGACAATTGCGAATCGAAAAACTCCAATACCCAGACCTTGCACCACGGCACCAATGGCAAAGGGCAAAACTGCGCCTCCAATTTGACCTAGAGATGCAACAAAAGAGACAGCTGCGACATGTAGCTCTGCCGGCAACAGTCTCGTCAACACCACAACCCCAGACGGGAAAAGTGGACCATGGACGAAACCTGTGGCCGTCATGAAGATTACGGAGGCCTCCAAAGATGAGAAAGCTGCAAACAGAGCCTCGAAAACAATAGCGAAGAGGAAGTAAAGGGTGGTCGCAGGCCGTACGCCCATCCTATCCGTGGCGAATCCCAGCACTAAACGCCCAATAGCCATACCGATCCAGTAGCCCGAGGAAGAGAGACCAGCTATATAGTCACTCGCATGTCGCTCACGGAGCATAAATGAGACCACCCACCCAGAGATGGAGGTTTCTACGCCAACGTAGGTGAGAAAGAAGGCTGCGCAGAGCCAGGTAGCTGGGTGCTTGAAGATTTCCCTAAGGTCAATCCTGGAGTCAGAAATCTTTGACTGCTTGCTCTGGCGGTAGACAGATGCGCTCTCATGTCGGAAAGCAGCGACCTGGACTATAAATGACAACGCGCATGCTCCAGCCTTCACCCAGTTAGTACTTTCATCCCAAAGTCTCTCGCGACGCACTCACTAGAATCGAATACCAAGTCCACCAATGCCGATGTTTCGCAGTCAACATAGTCAAAAGCAGAGGCCCCAATGCCGCACCAACAGAAAAACTCCCATGCAACAGCCCAGAAATCGTATTCGCCTTCTTCATGCTCCCCGCCCATGCACACCAGCTCCCATCCAGCAATCCAGTCCCTAGTCCTTGAAACGCAAACGCCACCAGTATCAACCCGAACCCCGGATGCGCTGCTACAGTCGCAGTAGCAAGGACTTGCAGGATGGGCCCCGCAAAAGCGATACCCCGCTGCCCAAACCGGTAGTGCACTGCATCACTGAATTGTGCGGCGAATACGTATCCAACGGGACCTGCCAGAAATATAGAAGAGACTTGGATGTCGCTGAGATTGTAGTGTTGCGATAGCAAAGGGAGGACAGCACCAATAGATGAGTTGAACAGCCCAAGTGTGGCGAACGAGTACATTGCTGCTGCGATCTTGAAGATTAACCGCGCGTTCATTGTTTCGGGATCTTCCTGTGAGGGACCTTGGTCTGGAGTGACAGAAGTTCTACGGTTATCGCCAAGGAGAGGCGAGGCCTCGTTCGATCCTGATGGATGCGACATGTTTGTTGCAAATGTTAACGCGTCGCGGACGTGGTTTTGGTGGTTCAAGGTGAGGAAGTGATCACAGTATCATTTCCTGTAGATGTATTTTGACTCAGCAGTTTAGATGGGGTGGAGATTTTGGCTAGATGGCTAGTGGTGAGTTGAGATGGTACTTGGCTGTTGTTGTACCAGATTGCTGCGAATGGATACGTAGTACTGCTACTAGTAGATAAGCACGGCCAAGACCATCCCTGTCGTGACATCATGGCCAAAGCGTCTTGGCTGGACAAAAGAATCATTTCTTGCAACAACCGTTGGGAAGGGACGGACAGATGATGGGCTTCTAAATGGGAAGCTGGATGATCCTGGATGGTAGAATGCTCTTGGCTATTGTGTTCAAGAGCCCTGCGGCATCGAGTTCTGGAATCAAAACACTGCTAGCCCTTTTCATATTGGTTGCAAAATCAACACTTCTGTTGCTCCTGATAATTGTGAATTTCCCCAACACCAAGTAGATTTACCAGAGGTCGATAGCAAGTACACGAGTGAGGCATTCTTTCCTAGAGTCTTTGCTCCCATGAGCCGCATCAGCGTCATGGACATACACTCGAAGCACGCACTTTAGCCGGGCTATTACCCATCTGACTACCTTTGCATAAACCAACTGCATTTTGACTTGGATATATTCTTATCAATACCGATTTGGCATTTCGAAGGCGTCGGCGTGTGATACAAGCTCTCCTTGACAGTCGCACTCTCTTCTTGGCATGATTCTCCATCAACAGCTAAGTGGTTCTCAAAAATGCGGCATCAGAGAAGTGGTAACCCCAAATAAGACAACTGGAATGAGCTCTATATCCCACTAATGTCAGGAGCTCAAACCCGTAGCACAGCTGACAGAGGAACTAGTCCTCATCGTCGGAGGAGGCGTAGCCTAGTCCAAGAGAAAGTGCATTTCCTGTTTTCGACGCAGACGCATTTGTTGAGGGCTGTACATTGGCGACAGGTGGGTTTGCAGAACTTGTCGTATCGGCCTTAGCATTCACCTGGGAAGGAATGTTTGTCGTTTTTTGCTGGATTGTCTCTGTCGTCGACTGTGATTTTTCAGCAGGCTTATGCTCCTCTGGGATGGAACTCGATTTCCTCAGCTTCACACCCTTGAGTAGTCCGGCTTCAGGCCCTTTCTTCCTCTTCTTTCCAGCAGCTGCCCACTGTTCGGCACCGTGCTCCTGCGCCGGCTCTGCAGTCTCCTCCTCAAGCCCACGTACCTTTCTCTCCGCCTCTTCACGCTGCCGTCGGAATAGATCAAGCTGCTCGGTAGTTTCTTTCTTGACGTTGGCTTCTTCCAGGCGCTTCTTCTCAAGGATTGAATCCAGGTAGTCGGCTTCCTCGTCGTCAAGGGCGACATGAAGTTTGTAGCGTGCCTTTTCTTCAAACTCGGCTTGTTTCTTGTCTTTGTTGGCTTGCAAGACTTCGTACAGACTCTTGCCGTCGTGCTGCTTTGCTAGCTCGGCTTTGGCACGTCTGGCATCTTCAATTTCCTGCTGCGCTCTTTTCCACTCATCGTCGCGTTGCACTTCCTCCCCGGCTTTGCCACCACTGACGAACCCTGAAGACATTCCGATCCACACGCATATGGCTAGCGCAGGTTGTTGAGAGTGGCGTAGTGGTTCGTCAAACCCACAGATTTGGTGTCGGGATAGCGAGGCTGGAAAGGATACCGCATTCATACTAGCGCCAACTAATGGTTCCCCACCAGTATTCCTTCATCCGCGGACAACTCAGGCTGTGATACGTGGAGCATTTATGCCGGTGCTTATTTATGCTCCGGTGTCCCCCTGCAAGGTGGATGAATGTTGAGACTGACGTAGGAGGGGTGTTACACGACGCGTTGCCCCTCCACTTGCGCCGCCATTCAAAAGATTTCATTTTCTTTCAATTCCCACTCATCCTACACTACAAACTTTACATTTCCCAATCTTATGCTCCGTACTCTAGCAAGAATGGCACCCAAGAACTGGACAAAGGAGACCTTTACGGTAAGTGCATCTGTATCCCTACACATCGGCCATACCAGAGGATGTATCTTCTCAAGACCTCGCAATCGCCTTACAAATGGTTTGAAGAGCCGATATTTCTTCAATCTCTCACTATGCATGGGCCAATGCCAGTCGAATAAAAGCTAATCGGTCGCAGCTTAACACTGGCGCAAAGATTCCTGCTGTTGGCCTCGGAACCTGGCAATCAAAGCCTGGTGAGGTCCGTGAAGCTGTCAAGGCTGCTCTCCAGGGCGGCTACCGTCACATCGACACTGCGCTTGCATATGGCAACGAGAAGGAAGTCGGCCAGGGTATCAAGGACTCTGGTGTTCCCCGTGAGGAGATCTGGGTCACCACCAAGCTCGACAACCCATGGCACAAGCGCGTCGAAGAAGGCATTAACAGCTCGCTGAGCAGCCTGGGCCTCGACTATGTCGATCTCTACCTCATGGTATGTTTAGCCCTTTGCAATCACCGTCCCTGATAGGTAAACATGCTAACCACCTTAATAGCACTGGCCCTCTTCGACCGACCCAGATGACCTGAAGAAGCACTACCCCGACTGGGACTTCAAGGACACTTGGGCCGAGATGCAGAAGCTGCCCGAATCTGGCCGTGTGAAGAACGTTGGTGTCTCCAACTTCGCTATCAAGAATCTCGAGAAGCTCTTCGCCGACTCTCGGTTCAAGATCACGCCTGCTGTTAACCAGATCGAGCTCCACCCCAACAACCCCTCGTAAGTTAGCCCACTCACATCATATAACGATACGAAGACTGACGACGGATGTAGACCCAAGCTCCTCGACTACTGCAAGGAGAAGGGCATTCACTGCACTGCTTACTCATGCCTTGGCTCCACCGACTCTCCTCTGTACAAGAACGAGAAGCTCAAGAAGCTTGCCGAGAACAAGGGAAAGTCTGTTCAGCAGGTCCTGTTGATGTGGGGTCTCCAGCGCGGCACCAGCGTCATCCCCAAATCTGTCACAGCATCTCGCATCATGGGCAACTTTGAGCTTGACGGCTGGGAGTTGACCGATGAAGAGGCGAAGGAGATTAGCTCGCTGCCTGAGCGCTTCAAGGTTTGCGGAGACGCATGGCTGCCCGTCAAGGTGTTCTTTGGCGACGACGAGTAGGCCTATTGAATTTTACCGGAGGGTTTAAAGTATAATGATACCACAAATATATAGAGAATTGAGACTAAGAACAAGGCATACAAATACATGACTAGTGGAGCGTGACACATCATGCAGTGTTGTTGGTTAGTGTCAGGCAAAGACGTGGAAGCCTGGCGTGTGGCAATTTCGTCAGGTCATGTGAGTGCGCGTTCAGCGCTAGTAAGACGCGACGACTTTCGGTGCCCGCTCGCCACTCATCCTTCCCTTTCAAGCATTTAGACTTGCACATCCTTATAATCTCACAACTCGGACTCTTCCACTTGCCACTACATTTCTGAAATAGATACACCCCACAGCATCTCAAAATGAGCAACGAAGAAGAGCAGTATGACGACAGCACAATGGGCGGCCCTGGTGCACCAACGCCCGTTTCTGCGCTTGAGGTGGGCTTCAAATCATTCTTCATACTTCAGTGGGTGCTGACAGTAATCTAGGGCGTCAATGGACTTACAGCACGCGATATCAAGCTGGTAGTTGAGGGGGGTTTCAACACAGTGGAATCTATTGCGTACACGTATGCTGGGCACCGTGTCATATCCAGTCCCGCCACTAACGCTTGCCAGACCGCGACGAACACTCGAACAGATCAAGGGTATATCGGAACAAAAGGCGTCCAAGTTACTAGCTGAGGGTGTGTATCAAAGTACCAGTCCAAATACCTCTTGCTAACGGATTTAGCATCGAAACTTGTACCTATGGGCTTTACCACGGCCACGGAGATGCATTCGCGCAGAAGCGAATTGATATCCATCACAACCGGATCAAAGCAGTTGGACACACTTCTTGCAGGAGGTATCGAGACGGGCTCCATCACAGAGATATTTGGAGAATTCCGAACGGGAAAAAGTCAGATCTGCCACACTCTGGCTGTCACCTGCCAGTTGCCTTTCGATATGGGAGGCGGAGAAGGCAAATGCCTATATATTGACACCGAGGGCACTTTCCGACCCGTCCGGTGTTTGGCCGTCGCCAATCGGTTTGGACTTTCCGGCGAAGAGGTTCTTGACAACGTTGCGTATGCTCGCGCATACAACTCAGACCATCAGCTGGAGCTCCTCAACCAGGCCGCGCAAATGATGACCGAGACACGGTTTTCGTTGCTCGTCGTCGACTCTGCTACTGCATTATATCGTACAGACTTTGCAGGACGTGGAGAGCTCTCTGCAAGACAGACGCACTTGGCCAAGTTTATGCGCACCCTACAACGGCTTGCAGACGAGTTTGGAATCGCCGTCATCATCACAAACCAAGTAGTTGCACAGGTTGATGGTGGACCAAGCGCCATGTTTAACCCAGACCCAAAGAAGCCCATTGGAGGAAACATTATCGCACACGCAAGTACAACACGTCTCAGCCTGAGAAAGGGTAGAGGAGAGACGCGTGTCTGCAAGATCTATGATAGTCCATGTTTGCCCGAGAGCGATTGCTTGTTTGCCATCAATGAGGACGGTATCGGGGATCCCAAGGAGAAGGATTTGGAGGAGAGGAACAATAGGTGATGAGGGGTCGGCGTCTGTTTAGGTTGGTGAAGTTGGGGCGGGAGGCGACTGGACGATGGTGATTTAAGTAATTGCGGTTTGCGTTCAACGATTTATGCTCATGCAATGTTATGATATCCCTCATATTTTACAGTCCACAACACGAGTCCAAGTGAAGGCATTTGTGATTCGATAGGCTTTCTTTGTTGCAGATGGAGCCATTGCTTATAGTATACTACTTACTACTAGTAGTGTCGAGGATGATCGGTGGCCAGGAACAAGCCGCTCCCAGGAAGGGCCGTGCGCCAGCAGCTTTCCTCGCGCATTCCCATCGCGACCACTGTTTTTGTGAGCTCCACCTCCGCGCCGACTGCCGCAACTCACACCGACCACACACTGCACCCTCCAGCTCGCCGCCATAGTAATCGCAGGACCTTTGCATGCGAGCAGAATGTCACAGAACGGAGGCACATGTCTCTACAAAGAGGCGCGATTGAACATTGAGCCCGCCTTTCCTGGGTCAACAATCGCATTCAGCATCCCGGCATACTCTCCCTTCGCCAGCCGCTCTAGCATAAAGCGTAGTGTCATCACCGAACAGTATGTAGACAAGGACGAAGACGCCTTTACCAGGCGCCATTTAGCAACAGATGGATCCATGTACTTTCGGCGGCATCATGGCTACCCGCGAAGCTTTCTTTGGCGCGTGTTGGATAACAGAAAGATGCTGGAAATACAGTCGACAGACTTAGATCACGACTCTACCGACAAGTTTGAGGCCACCCTTACTCTTCTTTTCCAGTTCCCTGCGCCAATCCGCCCTTTTTGCGTCGCTTTCGCAGAGCCCGCCGACCGAGACGCCCTGACCGTTTTTGCAATCACCACCGCCAATGAGCTTTACACAATCACGCTACATCGCGACTTCTTTGCTACCCCTGCAGCTTCAGAGCAGGATCCAGAGACTTGGTGCAAGAGAGTCGAACCGGCACTCTTCAGCGGGCGCATACCCTTCAGACTCGTTGCTGAAAGCGCTGATGAATTGCTAGTCACTCTAGACGACGGAGCCATATGCCGTTTAGTGTGGGACAAGGCCAACGCCACTTGGGATGGATCGCGATATCAGCAGAACAACTGGTCGGTGCGCGGCCTTCTATCTTGGAAAGCGCAACCCACAGTCCGGTTCGAGAATGCGGAATTCGCTACAACTGCTGCTGCCGCGGTCGCCATATCGCCCGAAAAGAACCATATTCTCTCGGTATGCTTAGATCACACCATACGGGCATGGAATATCGCATCAGGGAAGCCAGGCGCTCATATCGATCTCTTGGGCGCTGATGAAATGGCTTTGGAGAAGTCGCATACCTCATACTCGATCGGGCCCTCACAGTCGATGCTTATGCAAGTTGTAGAGGTAATCGGCGGAATTGGAGGCGCTGACTACCATGTTGTTACGTATTCGCCGAAACAGCACCAGTTCAAGTTTTGGGGTGTCAGAGACGCTGATGACGCAGAGTTGGGTTTCTACGATGCTGCCGAGGATTCGGATTTCATTCCCCCAATCGACGAGCTTATGAAGACGACTGTTTGGACGCTGGAGGAATTTCACATCGTCCCCGGACCTAGCGGATGGAGAGGCTCAGAAATTTGGATTCGCGCAAGATCTGGACCGAGCAGCAAAATTTACTCTTTGAAGTTCGATCTCACCGATACACCAGAAGCCCGGACCCAGGCTTGGAAGAATGATTGGGTTTGTGTGGAATCTGGTCCCCTGACTGTCGATGCACTAAGGTCTCACCCTGCCAACCCGAGTGAGCGGGACGATGTCATTGATCATGATGATCTTGACTCCACTGAGAAGTGGCTCGATTTCCTATTCTACCCGGGTAGATTCACCACCGCAACACTGGAAACTTCGTTGTATATCTATAAAAGAGGGCTCGAACATGGCCGGTCAGGTCGATCATCTAGCAGAGGCTCACTTAAGGAACGCCTGTGCGCTGCCGTCACTGCTCTCGCTGTGAACGGAAGGCGTGAGTCGGACGAAATCGAGGACGCTGTAGCTGTGCAATGGCAAGCGTACTACAGCCTTGTAAAAGATCTGCACAAGCGGAGAGGAGAATCTCTTTCACTTGTGTATGACCGGGATTCGGGTAGGCCATGGCTTGTCCTAAGTGACTATGTGTCTGCGGTACGGACTTGTAGCGAATCTGAGATCACCAAGCTAAACGCCAACGTCATCTCCAGTTCGCGCACGCTGAGCAAACCACTCCGCAAGACGTTGGACACTTCCGAGTCGCGGGACGTTGCGCGGCTGCTGAATGCGGCGGCATCCTTTAGACAGCGGCTGCCATCGTTTGTTCAGCACGAGGTGCGAAGACATTTGGAGATGGACATACTTCAGAGCCGCAACATCACTATCCTGGATCGAATGGAATGGATTGAAGCTAACAGTGAGCTTTCACAGCAAGTATCCGACGAGGACGTCACCTTGCTTGTCGAAGAACTCGGTATGGAGGTCAAGGATCTCGGTACCGAGACATTCCTCCGGGCCATTAAGATACTAGGTTACGAGGAAGACGGCAAGCCCCAACCGAGGAAGCAGATTGCACGGTATGGCTTGAGCGCCTTGACTAGAGTTTCTCAAGAAACTTTGGAGGGTGATCGTGATGTCTTGTTGGACCTGCTTGTTCTCCTGCTTTTCATGTTCATTGAGCTGGAAGGAGAAAGTCTCGAGGACTTTGATGCGCCAGAGGTCTTTGCCGAGTTGATCCTCCGTTACAAGGATTGCTTAGTGGTATCTTGGCTGGCTGGCACGGTTTGGGCTCACCAAAGCGCAACAGGGCTGGCATCAGAGAACGTAAACCGGGCACTGAGCGAGACGCTGAAAGTGGGCAAGAAGCTGCCCATCACGCAAACAGTTCTCGAGGGGGCTTATGGTGGACGTGCGTTCGAAGTACTGTTACCAAAGGACCTGAAGGCTGATCTACTTACGAAATGGAGCCGGGGTTGGCTGACGTCAATCTTCGAGGAGCACGAGTATGAGGCCGTGGTAGAAGATATCATGGGCATTCTACTGGCACAAAGAGAGTACGAACTCGCTATGGACTTTTCCAAGTTCCTTATCGAAGGCTATTGGGCATCTTACATGAGAGGCCGGTTGTACATTGCGTTGGGAGACAACGCGACTGCATCGATGTGCTTCCAGAAGCCTGCATACACTTTGGGTAAGAGTCAAATGGAACTATACTGGAAGGATGCTAACTCATGCAGCTCTCGGTGCCATGTTCGATGTGGCGGAACAAGACACAATGGGCCTGGTGTCTGAAGTAGAGCGAAACTCGTTCTCAGAAGGTCTCGGCCATTACTATAATCATCTAGTTGGCCTGTTTGAGAGAGCCAAGGCGTATTCGTACGTTGCGGACTTTGCCAAACTTGGCCTCAGGTCGTTGCTGGGCCAAGAAGATGAGGGGCTCAAGACTGAGCTCCTTCAACGGCTATTCACCGCGTCCATACAGACGTGTAGGTTTCAAGACGCATACACAGCTATGATTAGACATAGTGATGCAGCTCTGTAGGTCGATATACGGACACGACATACGGACAGAAACTAATGCTAGTACAGGAAACAGTCCGACCTACAGACTCTGATCACGACTATGGTTGCACAGTCACGCACTACAGAACTACTTAAGTTTCCATTTGTAGGACTGATAGATTCCGTTGACAGCATTCTAACATCTCTTTGCCAAAAGACGCTCAACATCGCTTCAGGGCCTCCCTACCATCAGATTCTGTATTCTTTCCGCATCTCGCGAAACAACTTCCGGGGTGCGGCATCAATCCTCCACGAGCGACTTCAACGACTGAAGACAACTTCGTCAAAGGTGCACGACCCGACAGATGAATCGCTAGCACAATGCTACCTTATGATCATCAATACATTGTCGTCGGTCAGTAAAGAAGATGCATACATCCTAGCCGAGCAACGCATTGAAGGAACCGGGGGCCCACCGCAATGGGGTATTGGTCAGGGCAAGAAGCTACTTAAGAGGCAGATTATTACGCTGGATACGCTAAGGAAGGAGTACCAGGCTGAGCTTGACCGAGTTGCGGCAATTGAGAGTGGGCAGTTCCCGTTTGTGGATCCGAGCGAGGACATGGATATCTTGTAGTAGCAGGTGCATGGGTTTGCCAGGTTTCAGCGCGGCGTTCATAGGACGGGATTGCGAATATATGGGTTAATGCCACGGCCATAGCCACAGCCACAGGAGAAGGTGTGTTTCTGGTAGGCAAAATGAAAATGAAGATAGTGTATAGCAGCACATGATTGGAATGATTTGGCTGCACGAGACAAAGGCCGTGTGTGAAATGGTACCATGTCGAATAGATGACGTCGTTTCTTTGCCTTGTACTCTTTGTGGTGAATGGAAAGGAGAGAACACCAAAGTCGCGCGCTAGTACAAAGGAATGCGGGGCGTCGCGACTCGTATGCGCCGCAACTGCACCAAGCTGACGTCGGTTGCCAGAGCGCCAGCGCCCTATGGTTCATGTGCGATAGACATTGACAGTCCTGCCTGCTGTTCTCGAAGCATACGTACATATGCTGCGTCGTTGAACCAGTGCTCGTCGCCATGGTCAGAATCCCAAAGTAAAGACGCGTTTACGCTCACTGACATTACCACACAGAACTCAAAGTCCCTGCGCCGTCTCGCCGCCGACCACGGATCTCTGCATACGGCTGGCCTCCCGCCTAACTACCTGTTTGCACCCGAATCAGACGACGCTGCTGACCTCACGTCCCTCGATATCCTCCTTGCTGGCCCTGTCGGCACCCCCTACGCAGGCGGTGTATGGCGACTGCACCTCGACATCCCACCCACCTATCCTGCTGCCCCACCCACGGCACAATTCAGGACCAGGCTATGGCACCCCAATATCGACGAGGCGACTGGCGCCGTTTGTGTGGAGACGCTGAAGCGTGACTGGAGCAGCACACTCAAACTCCGAGACGTGCTGGTGACGATATCATGTCTCCTCATTCAGCCGAACCCCGCCAGTGCACTGAATGAAGCGGCGGGCAAACTAGCCGTCGAGGACTGGGACGGATACTGTAGGCGAGCAAAGCTCATGACCGAGATCCACGCCGCCATCCCCAGCAGTATCGCCAAAGAAGTCAGAGAGGCCCAAATGCGGGGCGAAGAGCGGACGACTGAGTCCGAGCCCCAGTCTGAACCCCAGCCCCAGCCTACAGCAAAACTTCATTCAAAGGGCAAAGAAAAGGAACGCGTCAAAATCACCCCAGCTGGACCCAGGTTACAACGACGCCCATCCGAAGACGAAGAAAACAGGCGCCGCAGAGCCGCAACCCACGATGCAGACAGCGACCCAGAAAGCGACTGGATACCCGGCCCCGTCAAAACCAGCAAAGTCCCCGGCCGCCACGAATCCAACATCTTCGGTATCAAAGGCCTTGACGACACAATGCAACTCGACACACCTCCCAAGCGCATCTTCGCCGCCCAAAACCTCCCCAAAGACAAAGGAAAAGCCAAAGGAGCCACCGATGATTCCGACCCCTTCCTCACCACCACCACAGCACCTCAAAAATCAATCTCTCGCCCTGTAACGCGATCCTTCGATTTGGCTCCTCCTCCTCCCGCCCTTGCTACTTCTACACGGCCAGCCGAGCCATCACATCCCACTGGCAACGAAGAAAGCGATAACAGCACAACCTTGCTCCTCCGCGACTTCTCCCTCTCCTGGCACGACACCTTTGCCCTCCACAACAACGACCCGGACGCCAAGAAACGCATCGCGAGCCCAGAGTTCGAAGCGAAGGCCAAGTGGGAAATGAAGAGGTTCAGGCAGGCCGCGTGGGATTTGGAAAAGTTTAATCGGGGGGAGTTTGGGCCGAGGGTAGGCGTTGGGAGACTGTGATGTTTGATCGCTATATGTTTTTTTTTCCTTAAAAAAAATCTTCGGATTCTTTTCTTTTCTTTTCTTTTTTGCAATGGAAAAGAGGTGCATAGCGAGGTGCGTTTTTGGGGGGGAAGGGAGGGGAGGGGGTTTTTGTACCCGGTTCATATGCAGTTTAGCGGCATGTTTGAATGATAATAATGATGATTATGGTTGGAAGCGTGGAATCTTCGCCTGGTGTATGTGTGTGTGTGTGAGTGATAGAGGATACGGATTCACAAACGTGCGAATGTATAGTATTGAGGTGAGAACTTGGGGATATGCGGAGCATATGTGAATGAAGGGAGAGATATGAGAATGAGAGGAAGGGGGTTTTTTTTTCAAATGTGAGACTATAACTCAACAGGGAGAAGATGAATTGGATCGGGCCTTGATCTATGAGATTCAATAACTACGAGGATATGGCACTTGATACAGGGCCAATCCATCATGCATGTGCGCAGTCCTTTGTTGAAGGGACTAAACTGCCCAGCTCACGCGTACATTGCTACGAAAATACTAAACGAATCCAACGCTAGCCGCCCATGGTGTGAATAAGTTTCACAAAAAGAAAACGATCCTATGCCACTTTTTGCTCATGCGCTGTACCATTGACAGCGTGAGTCCCGTTAACTCCATTGGTGCCGTTAGTGGTGCCATTCGCGCGATTCTCCTGTGCCTCACTGGCTTCTTTGATAAAAGGAACGGACTCGGACGGCGGTACAGCTAGGGACGTTGCGTCGTTCTCAGTGACATCCGTGTTGTCCTGGTTAGGAGCCTGGAGTCCCTGGCGGACTCTGAGCACGCTGTCGACAATGACAGCATCGATACCTTCGTTTCGTTGCAACTATGTTTACGTTAACATGTGTAAAATGCAAAACACAGGTTGATATGTTTACTTACCAAGACATTCTTGGGGTCGTTGTTCAGTATCCCGTAGCTTACGCAAACAAGACCACTTTCCTTGACTACTTTGACGAGTCTGGGGCACATGACGAGCGGTGTGGCGGCGCTGACTACGCCGAGCAAGTTCCAACGACTGGCAAAACGGATCGCCTCTTGCAAACTTGCAGCCCGCACATCTCCTACCGGTGATGTTCCGGCATCTGTGAGGAACAGAACAGGAATTGAGGGTTGCTTAAAGGATAGCATGAGGCAGATGTCCGGGTTGAAGGAGGAAAAGATGATGTTGCGTTCCCCCATCTTATCGTAGACCTTTTCCAAGATCGTGTCCACGAAGGAGTTCAGCTCTACCGCATATTGGTCCATTTCTTCCTCTTCCGACTCGTGAAGCATGGGATACTTCATCTCGACATTGAATCCAACCGACTCTGGTACCTCGTTAAACATTCGTTCCAGTGTTGTAAATGACGACTGAATGGAGTATCCGCGGCTGTTTCCCTTGAATCCTTTCTTCTTGAAATCACGGGTATGCTTCATTCGCTCCGTCAACTCCTCAGCGCGGTCGGTATGAATATTACGTTGCTTCGAGTTATCAACAGAGTAAGATCTCGGCCTCCTCACATTGGGACGGTCATCTTCAGCACCATTGAGATGAGTCCTGTCAGGGGATCCTGTGCGAGCATAGCGAGGATTCGAGCCTTCACCAATGTGGAGGAACTGGTCTAGAGTAAGGGTATGTACAGGCGCATCAATACCGGTCTCGCTGACAAGGAAGTCATGGTAGATGACCGGTACGTGGTCTTTTGTCAGTTGGACATCGAACTCGACATACTCGGCACCCAGGTTGGCAGCTGAGATGAAGGATTGGATCGTATTCTCGCCGAGCTGTAGTGATGTACGAGATGCTGTGTTCTTGCCAAGACCACGATGGCCAATGACCATGGTCGATGAAGCCATCTTCTTCCAGTAGGTGTGCTGCTCTGTGATGGACATGTTTGGATGATGGAAGGGTGTGATGATGAGAAAGTTGAAGTTGACCGTTCCAATAACATCCAGCGTCGAGGCTGCTACAATAGGTACCTTCATGTCCCCCTGGAGTGGAATTCGCTTCGATCCAATGCTGGTTTTGATCGTAGACAGTAAGGCAACAGCCCGCCCCATCGAGCGTTCATGCGTTCCAGCATAGGTTGGGACAATGTCAAACAAGAGTTTGACCTTGGTGATGTCGCTAGTCATAAAGGTAATGGGCTCTGTGGCGATATTATCCTGGATGGGCAAATCGATCACTGTGGGCTCTCCCTTAGCTCCAGATGCTTGCACAACCACAGACAGAGCAGTGTCTAGTTGAGTTGCATGCGCGTCCGCAAGTGGAATATCGTCAAGCTTGACCGCCGGCGTGTCTTTCCGAACATCCATCGAACCAAGGCTAACCAACACCATCGTTTCATTCGTCAGATAACGATGACCAAAAGTTTTGACCGGCTCAGGGATCTTCTGAACAGGACTGTTAGTGTCTCGATTCAGATTCTTCGACCTTCTCTCATCAAGCGAATTCTGAGGGGGTGAACCAGCCCTAGAAATCCGTGTATCTGTGGGTACCACACGAGGCGAGACTGTCGTGGGAGCAAGCTCGCACAGCCGTTCTGTAATTTTCATATGGCCACGAAGTGCAGCATGCTCTTTCGCTGTCCAACCGGAGTTGTCGCATCTGTGTAGATCAGCTCCAGCAGCTGCTAGAATCTCGACTATTGAGAGATGATCATCGACACAGGCAATGAACAATGGCGTCCAAGCAAACGTCTTTTCAGGGACATCAACCTCTGCTTTGTTCGTGTTGGAGCCCTCCAGCAAAACTTTGGCGCATTCGTCATAGCCGTAGCGGGCTGCCATGTGCAAGGCAGTCTCACCGCCCTCGTCCTGGTGGTTGACATCGATGCCTGCCTCAACGAGGAGTTTCACAATATCAACAAAATTTGATCGAGTCGCTAGAGACAGAACTGCTCCTGAGCGAGCACTAGACTTCCTCGACGCACGTCTTTGCTCATGTGATCCCCGCCAATTCTCTGCCTCGAGAAGAGTTTTGGTGGTGAGGATATGCCCGCCCATGACACTGAGATGCAGAGGCACATTGCCGTCGGTGTCCTGCCAATCGGGAGAGTCTATGCCTTGTGCAACGTCAAACTGGCCCCAGTCCTGCATATGCTTTATGACAACCTGACAAATGACCACGAAGCCGTATTGGGCGGCATAATGAAGTGGAAGCCTTCCATAGGAATCACGAGCTTGGAGTGCATTGCGTTGCTCATCACGCAGCTCGTCCAACAGATAAATAAGTAGGCGCACGGACTCGTCGTTCTCGCTTAGCAGCTGGGTCGACTCTTCTTCAGTAGTTGTACAAGGACGAGGTTGCCGGTTAGGGTCAGTAGCAGGCACGATGAAGTTTCCTGATTCATTCGAACTTGGTTGCCGAGTTCCGTCGGCGCCAAATGTTTCGCCGCTCTTTGAACGGCCGATGTTGATGACTAGTCGGTGGACACAGTTGCGTTTGTTGATGTCGTCATCTTCATCCAACGAGATGATGTCTTGCAACAATCTCTTGATGCATTGTTTGGAACGACATGAAATGGAGCGCTGAAGGAAGTTCAGCAGAACCTGCTGCATTGAAGAGCTAGTGATGCCGTTGTTCGCAGCAGCTTCGGCAATTTGTTGGCCGAGGTCTTCTGCTTTGTCGTTACGGATAGCCAAGTCTGCCGCATCGAGTAGACCGGATGGCAGGTGCAGCGAACGGCCTGGTACTCGACCTAGGGAGCCCGCAGAGTGTGTAGAGCCGGTGTCATCAAAAGTCTTGATATCACCCAGTCCTGACAGCCATTCATTAACAGCCTTCATGTCCTGGTTGAGCGGTAGATTGTGCGCAAAAGGCTTTGGATTGACCTTGGAGGCTAGATATGGCTCTTGCAAATGCACTGTCTGGATCTTCTTATCCAGCTTTTTGGTGATTTTGTTGAAGCCTCTCCGATTGACCTCTCCGTACCACTGGAGCTTTCGCATTGAGCCTCGCAGCTCAAGCAGTGCGCCCATGAGGTCTTGTGCCTCGTCTTTATCGATGCCTTCGGGCAACTGAGCGGCACGACCATAGCGGCCATGCAGGATCCTAAGTCGCCGGGAAAACTCTGCGTATTTTCGATTGTAGAAGTTGTCGACATCTTCGAGGTTGCGATCAAGCGAGAAGAAGAGCTCTGTAGGTTTCTGTTAGTAATGCCCTCCAATCCCTGCAGGCGTTGTATGATGCTCTCCAAATAGAGGACTGGGAGTTGGTGAAGTCCTTTTGGGAAAAAAAGGAATACACAGAAATGAACAACATAGGCTTATGAGCTTTCAGACTGACCTGTGAGATCTGGATCCGAGCCGCTTTTCGAGGCTTCAGCGGCATTCTTGATCAGCTTCTTGAGGCCTTTGTAGTTGATGTACGAGGACGCCCATTCTGGAACCTGGTTCCTAGGCAGATTGTGTCCAAACTTCATCTTGGCGCTCGAGTGACGGTCAGCAAGTAGGCCTTGCCAAACAAAGACTGACGCTGAGGACTGAGGGCGGCTCTACAAGCTGTTGCAAGTTGGCCGCGCAGCAGGAGGGGCAGCAAAAGCTAAGAAATATAGTGGCAGCAATGCAACGACGGGCAAGATAGATAGCAAAGGGCGGATAGCATGCGACCGGCGCAATCAACGCGTTAATGATGGGCTCTTTAGGGTGTGCTCGAGGCGACCATTCTCATTGGAGGAGACGGGGCCCGATCAAATCGCGCCTGCAGCATGGTTAAACGGACTGTCAAGAAGAAAGGGAAAGCCGCAGGTCGAGGGCTAGGGGAAGTACACTGTAGCGGCAGAATCGCTGGGCAGTGTTGTCGGAGTGCGAGAAGGAAGCTGTTGTAGGAGTAGGCAGTGTGTGTAGGCAGTGTATGCGCAAGCAAAAGACGATGGTTGAGTTTGAACTGGGAGAGCAAGTGGTTCGTGCGCCGTCAGGGTCTGCGATGACGTGTGAATGTGGAGTTGAGACGGAATTGCGTTGCTCTAAGCTTTTGCTCGCAAGCCGCAAGCAGCCGCAGGGTGATTGATGAATTTATACTCTTCTCCCACGCCTGTGTTTGCTGGTGGAAACTAGCCCCCCCCGTTGCCGCATCATAGTGCAGTCATGCATCCATGCATCAGTGTGAGCGCACCAACGCCTGGCATGCATGCTGCGTCGGCGGATCACGGCGGTGTATGTTTGTCAGCTCGTCGAAGGCATCTTAAGCGGCCACAGGCTTGACCATGGCGTCAGGGGGCTGGCGGATCTAGATGCTTTGGGATGAGCTTGATTGGGTTTATCGTGTGGTCCAAGAGCAGATCACGCTCCCTTGATGTGCGGGCGGGGCGGACGTGAGCAAAAGCAAGTGAGAGCGCCATGGCCTCTTTGTAGCCTTGTGCATGGCGGATGCGTGGCGGATGGTGGCCAGAGAAGCTCGAGCCTGAATCACATGGCTTCAAGACGATACAGCGTGGTGGAGACGACGAGCGTTGTATTGATGGTTTTTGCATGGCCTCCCCGCAGTTGGCCCGCAAGTCATGCACGCGGACCCTTTTCCGAGTCGTCTAGCAGCGGCCCACGACTGCATAGTGCCTGGGCCACTGGACCCTTCTTTTCCCTCCCATGTCCGTGTCCGACATGCCAACTACTGCTATTACCACTACTTTTACTCCTCTTTGTCTACCCACCCTCGCATCCGCACCCCCATCTGCGTCTGCATCTGCATCTGCATCTGCATCTGCATCCGTGCTCAAGTCCGCACCTAGTCATGTGAACACCAGCGCTCTACTCGCCGCGTCTCACGAGAAGAAGAAAGCGTTTCCCTGTGCGTCCTTGCGCTGCATCTTGGACAGGTCCTTGTCCGGCGCATACTCTGTCCACGCGCTCGCTGGGAAGATGTGTTTATTGCGTTCGTACCACCGTCTATCAACCACCTTGGTCAGCGTCGCATCGTCCCCAAACCCCTCGAGCTCATCGTCTGCTATGCTCGACTCTTTGCTCTTCTTCTTGCCCGGCTGCAGCAGTGGGTCGTACGTAGCCGGATCGACGTCGGCCTCTTCGTCGGCCTCCGTCGTCGCTTTGGGAGTGGCCTTGGTGGGCTGTGCCGAGTAGTCAAAGAGGGGTCCGTCAAGGCCGGCAACCCGGTTGAACAGGAAGTGGTAGATTTCGTAATGCTGCCTTTAGTGTCAGGGACAGAATACGAGTCCAGGCACATGGCCAACTTACGTGTGGTATTATGACCTCTCCCCTTACCAGCATCAAGTCGTCTACACTGACTCTGGCCCAGTCCCTCCGGCTCTTGTCTCCACCCACGCCTAGCTCTGCACCCACCTTCCTCGCCTTGTCCAAGAACAGCCAGATCTGCTCCCCCTTCTTCAGCCTGCATCGCCCGCCTGGTATGTTGGTGCCGTCGTAGAAGACAAATGGAATTACCACTTCGGTGGCTTTGACCGCATCGCGCATCACAACAAAGTCCCGTCGTGCAAGCTCTGCCTGCTGCGCCTCGCGTTGGAGAGCCGTCTTGGTCATGACGCGAGGCTTCAGACCAATGTTCGAGTTTGCGCCCAGCTTCTTCTTCACCACATTGCTTTCTGCTTCGGATTTCACACCAGTCGCATCGGTGGGGGTGCTTTGGCGCGGACTGGCCGTCTTGGAGACAGTAGAGTCGGTGTCATCCTCTTCCTCTGTGCCAAATGACAGCTTGCCCTTGGTGGTTATCTTGCGCTTCTTCTTGAAGACTGGCTTTGGTGTCGATGCCCTGTACTTTGTAAATTAGCCAACTTTCTGTGACTAGATAGAAAATGTCACCCTACCCATCTATCGGTGTGCTAGCACCAGAGTCAAGCCCTGTGTCACCTCGTTCTTTTCTGTCCAAGGCCTCGGCGCGTCGCTTGCGGTAGTCATTCAGGTTCACAAGACCAACGGTTTGCGCCTTGAGGAGATCTTCTGCCGTGGCAGCCTGCGAAGTGAAGCGCGAGTTACTCGCAGCATCGCTGGCATCTCCCGAGCTAGAGGCGAATCTATCCATGGGTGGAGAACAATGCTGGTGGGAAAGTCGAGCCCAGTTGTAGCATCCATAGAGTTGATGGCGCCCGCCCAAAGCAGCAAGTTCGCACCGCCACTAGCGCGCCTAGCCGCACCCGTGATAGCGCGTGCCCGACGCGGCGACGCGAACACGACTCCACCTGACCGTTGATCTCATTTGCTGCAACACCCGGGAAATGTTCCAAAATGGCACGCATAGTCCAGGATTCAGACGATGAGCTGGATGAGGACCTCGAGGCCGACCTGCCACCATCGCAGTCGCCGGACGCCTCCGGTCAGCGGCACAGTAATCTTCATGCCGAAAGCACGGGTGCCACTGGTAGGGTCAACATGCGTCTGCAACCATGTCCGTGACGACATTAACCATTACTGTAGATTCACTTCATGGTAATAGCAGAGAATCATTGCCCATCCATCTGCAGTCCATACCCAGCCAGGATGAACCACAGTCTTCGGTTTCCTTGCCAGAGCATCCAAACAAGAGAAGGAAGACGGAATCTCCCAGCCAACTTGCAAACGGCTATGAACCTGCGAATTTCCACGAAGCGGTCTGGCAACTAGAAGGTACTATGCGTAATGACTATGTCGGCCATCAGCCCGTCATGTTTGGTGAACCATCAAGTACCATTCCAAATGCCACCATGACGCAACAGCGTGTCTTGGAAGCTGTCAATGGCCCAGTAATGCTAGGACAGGAGTCCGAAGCTGGAGAGCTTCGCCATCATCTTCCACCTGAACCATCAGTACCTTGGTCAGATCTGATGAGGTTCACACCTGCAGAGGAAACTAAGCAGACTGAATCCCCGCGTCGTGAACCACCACCACCTCACACATCATTGGGTACGCCTGTTGTGGCTATGGAGAAAAGTCACAGGTGGCTGGCAACGCAGGGGAACAAATGTGCATCCTCATCTCCATCGAATCAAATTCCATCAAAGAACGGCTGTTCTACTTTCGAGGGACATACCGTAGATGATGAACCGGTAAACGCCAAGACGAACCTCCCGCTGGTATCCGTGAAAATGCCGACCACACGACCAGAATCTCATACCAATGACCAAGCGGAAGCAAAGATATCGCCAGGTCAACACAAGAGCTGGCTGTCTCCAAACTCCGATGACGAATTGTCCGCAATCGGACTCCCCGAGGAGCGATACAAGCCAAGGCCCAGTCGTTCAAGGTCACTCAAAGTCGACACTGAAGAGTCAATTGACTATTCCGTCCGACCTGAGAAAGCTGCAAAGCTCAGCAAACGTCGAAGAACAACAGCTGACATGCGCGCTGCCAATGCAATCACGACACCCGAGAAAGTACGGCAAATATGCGATATGGGCTTCACGCCTTCGACTACCGCCGGAGCTCTGAAACGTAACAACGGTGACGTCATCCAGACCGTCGATTGGCTAGTTACTAACAATATCGGCCATGACGAGCTGGCGCCACAAAGTCCACCTAAGCCAAAACGAAAATCAAAAGAAGAAGATGAGCCTGAGGTGGTCGACGTACAGACTGTACAAAGCATAATGCGCAATCTGGATGAGTATCGCCGAGACAATTGTGACACTGCGCAATATGGTCAGTCAGCAGGACCGGACGCAGATAGCTTTACGACGGATCTCATAGACGTCAATACTTCCGCGGAAACCTCGAATCCCCATGAGTGCTCAGAAACAGATCAGAACATGAGTCCGACAAAAGTCCAGGTAGTGATACCAAAGAAGTCGCCCAAAGCTACTGTTGCCCAAGCAGAAGACGCTATAGGTGTGTCAAGTAAGAAGTCAAAGCGCAAGAAAAGCACACTAGACCAGACGGAATCAGAATCAGTCTCATCGTTGGTTCCTATACCGGCGCCAATGAATGAGAAGAAGAGAGGTCGAGGTCGTCCTAAGAAAACGCCGACCACTTCTGATGCCATCGAGCCCATCGTACCTCTTGAACAAGAAGCAAAAGAGGAGCAGCCTAATGAACCTGAACAACCAACAGAACAGAATCTGGTCACCGAGAAGGTCGATCCAAGCTCAGTCATCGCACCAGACGAACCACAACCTGTGGAACCCGTGATCTCTCGGGACACAGAACAGGTCAATGTTCCAACCAAAGTCAATCCAGCTCCGACGTCAGAGACGCCAGAAAAGTCAACGAAACCCGCCACTCCTTCGCCCATGACCAAAGGCAAAGTGCCCTACCGTGTGGGCCTAAGTAAACGAGCGAGAATCGCCCCTTTGCTACGAACCTTGAAGAAATGAAGGGTGGCTATTATGATACTCCTACCAAGAGCAAGTTTGTTGATGCCAATGTCCATGCTAGTAAATTTTATGTAATGAAAAACTCTAATGATACATACTCTTGTTTTCCCCAATCAAGTTTCTTATACCCACTCCATAGCGTATCGAAAATGAATAATATTGGAGCATGTATTGCCGAAAGATATATATTCAATAATGATCTTTGCTGCTGTAATTGTGCATCGAGAGATGCTGGTGTAAATGAAAACAACGATCGCATAGGCTGGGTTCGAGAGTGCAGTAGGGAGTAGAACTGTGTTCAACACGACAAAGCATGTTCGTATGAATATGCGTATTGGACTTGGAATAGTCTCATCTTCTTACCCCGTCGAGACATCACGGCCCTTTGCGTGAACTCTAAGCACAGAGCTTCGATTACTGTCACTTGTAGTATTAAAACTTAAACACTCACTGCTCTTCAACTAACTTTCGAGTCAAAGGATAGTAGTGCATGGGTCTGCATCACATGATTTGGGACGTCGTATTGACGTCGACGGCGCCGCATTTCGATTAGACTATAGTTCCAGATAGTTCGCTCCATAATCCTTGCCGCATTTTGCAAAATGAGACGGACGTCAGGATGTGTAACCCATTCGTCAGGGTTTACTGTAAAATCCTGATTAGCATCTTCTGGCCTTAGCTGCAACTGCCAGTCTCTAATGATGCTACACAGCAACCATGCTTCGAAGCATGCAGTCCGCAACAAATTTGCCCATGCAATGCCGCGGACCAAATCCAAAACGCCACATATTGTACCGGTACTGAACAACTGGCGTCAGCAATCGCCCCGATAGACCAGACAAAGTTGTAGATTACTGCACTTACCTGACTCGGTTTGATGTCCAGGAATCGGGATGGTATCTATTCTTGGCTCTTTTTCTCCCCGAAAGGGATTGCGAATGTTTAATCCGTACGAATTAACAATGATCATTGTCTGCACATCCAGTCAACACCTGATATTTGCCGCCGCCTTTGTGGTACTTACTCGCCCAGGCAGCGCCCCTTCGCCAATCCTGCGATTTGTCGGGGGAGCTTGCGGAATCGAAAATGCTAAAGTGGTTAGCAAATAATACTGGAAGCCTTTTACTATAGGTAAAAATACGTGCGAATGGCCGCAGGCGAGACGATTCATTAATACAGGCTGCTAGGAAGGTATCGCTTCGAGTAATATATGCGTCCCACTGAATGTCATCTGAACCACACTCTCTTTCAATTTCCTCTACTAATCTTGCCTGATCTCCAGGGCAAGAGGCAAGATAGATCAAATTCCATGAAACGGCACCTGTAGTTACGTCGAGGTTTGCAAATAAAGACTCATCGAGAGTTTGAAGTAGCTAAAACGGCATCCAAGAGTCAGACATTCGGTCATAAGAGCTGATAGTTTTACCCTTACCTGTACCTGGTCTATCCTTCCCTCTTTAACGTCTTCCCATAGCTTGAACATGGGTGTCCTATCACCCCTAGCTTTAGCCTTTTTGTAGATGGATTTGTTGAGACATAACCACTCCTGTTGGAATTCGTGCAGTAGCCTATTTGCTGTCGTGGGAAGGAACCGGAATACTAAGAAACGAGCCAGACCGCCGCTGGTACCATATGCAAATAACTTCTGGTGCAAAGGCGCAATCTTCCTCAATCATTGAATTTCTTCTGCATCGAGGTCACCGTACAACAAAGTAGCAACGACCAGGAAGGGATAAAAGTTGATATCCTTGGCTGGATCAAAAACTCCGTTGCAGAAATCTCCACTGTTGTTTAATTGTTCGACAAACTTTCGTGTCTGTGTACGGATGAGAGCTGCATCATTGGCAATGGCTCTTCCATCTGGGACTGGAGACTTTGCCAAGACTTTCAGCTGAGTAAACCAAGCCCCTGGCCCAAGAGCTGGCTCATCAGATATCCGGAGTCATTGTTGACGGGCTTGTAGTGCTGACCAGAATCCTTGAAGAGTTTTTTCAAGTGCTCTAGCTCAGATATCACTCTGTGAGCAATTGTTAGTTATCTTTGCTATATGCGAAGAGGGATACGCACATTTCCGGAGTAGATCCAGACTAGATTCTGTAAGTAGACTCTAGTTTCTTTCGTTATTCCTCCTCGTTTTCACGGTCTTTGACGAACTTTGCTACGTCTCCACTATCATTCGGCCATATGTATGACAGTGACGGTAGATTCTTGGTGCCATTTACATCTTTGATTGGATACCTCCCGTGTAGGTACCACTATCACTATTCGACTTGTGCACATTGAGGCTCTTCCTTGGAGGAAATACGTACATTCAGAATACTTGAAACCAGGGTTTCGAGTACATTCTGGAGGAGAGAGATGGCCCTGGCCAGTGCGACGGTGAATAGAGTAGTGATGCTGAGTCCTAACGCTAGGTGTTTTGGCTCTAACAGGCCAGCACCCGACAGATTATCCAGTAACATGGGCAACTAGACAGAGCCACTAAATCAGGAACAATAGAACTATTGCATACGACTTCACGGAATGAAGTCGAAGAACACGAAAGGCAGCATTCAACGACTGCAGACTATAATCGAATGGTAGAAGGAATCACCCGTGGGAAATGACATAGGAGACGATGTAACGAACAGTAATTTAAGAACTGGAAAGAGACTCCATCAGTGCCCGAGATCTCTGCCTAGACGATCATAGGCTTGGAATTCAATCCCTCTGTTCTTATTCCAGGAAAATGAATGCATGCACATCGACTCCATCTTCACTCATCTTTGTCATAAATAACGTACTTTGTCTCCTCTTTTATTCCATATCGAGTTTCTTCACTTAGTATGCATGAAACAGACACTTATCACTCTGTGAACCTTCATATCTACGAAGGAAAGCCGATCCTATATGTCGTCAAAGGGCAACATTATATCGTGGATTACGTACCAGACTGTTGGCCTTAGGTACGTCTCTCTTATCCCAATATCATGCACTGCTCAATTGACAATACATGTTCCAGAGCAGCATCCAAGTATTGGCTGTATTTTTACACAGTTCATGACGAGAAACTCCCCAAAACAATGGAAAAGTATGAGAACCCACGATCATTTTCTTTTCCGTAGCTTCATCAATCTCACAGAAAATTTACAGATTGTATGCAGACGCCTTGAAGCAATGGGACATTATGGAGATGCTGCTTTCAGAGCCGGGGCAGATATACATGGCATTGAAAGACCGTCCTACAGTCGCTGATCTAGCATATTTACCCTTCGGCATGCCCTGTATGTTCGAATTCATGAAGATCAAGATTGAAGATTGGCCAAAGATCAAGGAGCGGTCTGATGGCATGTTGAGTCGCCCAGCTGTTCGTAGGATCCCACAGTTTGCGCCCACCATCGGTAATTAAAGCTGTTCTCTTTTTTTAAACACACAAATGGTCTATAGACAAACTAAGTCCATACTGTTCACCATGCTTATGGAAATGCATAACGTAGTTTACAAGCGAGTGACGCGTACAAGCGAGTGACGCACCCCACCAACTTTGCGCACCTCTCAAGCCATATAACTCAACAACACAATAGTATAATATATAGAAAGTGATAAGGTAGATTAATTACTAGCTAGAGTATCTTTCTT